TACTATTGCGGGCCCTTGCATGTGGTATTGAACCATACCGGGGTCACTGAGTTAAATCTGACCCGTTCACGTTACCCTGCTACCCGCAATGAAGAAAAAGAAAGGTGAGGACGAGGACACAACTGTTTATTTCATGGCTCAATTAAGTCGGTGTCGTTGTGTCATGTGTGGCGTGTGTATTTATAGTTTAGATGCGTGAGTTATAAATGTGCTAACATCAGGATCTACATGTGAGGGTAATTCAGGATAATCGTTCGCGCTCATGAGGATTGAGTTGAAGATCCGCGTGGTGACGACATGCTGCGAAAAGGGGGTCCCTGTGTCGGAGACTGGAGTGTCCCCAAAATTTGTTCGTTTTAGGATGGTGTATAGTATTTTTTAATATCCGTTTGCCACCAATTTTTAGGCAATCAGTGAACATAGATTTAAAGGACATAAATTGGACAGGCTGAGTGAGCATTTACTTAGGTCGATGGCTTTGTTACAGTAGAAATTCTTCGCCGACCTAACACGCTCTTAAAATTCTACCTTCAGTTGGAGGAGACGCAGCTGGCAGTTCGACTGGAGCCTCTGACGTGGCACGTTGCGAGAGCGCTGGTGGATTTTTCACAAGCCTTCAACTGGAACCTGATTATAATTTTGTACAACACTCAGGCTCCTGGATCTAGACCTCTCATTTCTGAACTGAAGTTCCTTCAAGTGGAACGAGAAAAACAGGACCACCCGAATTATTACGAGTGAGTTTGACAACCTTCATGTTTATACACTGCTCTGTAAATTGTTTAAATTTCCATCATAACATAAACACTTTCTAATTGTTTAGACTTGCAAAACGACAGATACCTTTTTTAAAAGTCTTTTGGTATGCGCATATATGAATTTCATTTGCCTCCAACGACATCGTTTACTGAAAGTAGTTATGTATTTGCAGCCACTCGTAAATCAAAGCGACCGATGGTATCGAAACTATTAACAATCCGAGGCTGATATGGCTGCTTCACAATGAACTTCGGATTTCACTCTGGAAAAACTTTGACATCGATATATTTTTTACATACGATACATAAAATGCTTTACAAAATGTCTGTTGAAAGGTTTAAAGTGTTAGAGATTTTTGCTAATACCGTCTCCGATGGTAGGGACAACTAGTTTGTAATCGTTGGACCTAACATAGTTTAAACAAAGCATATTTTGATTATCATCTATTTAATAAAGAGCTTGCACCAGCGGATAGTATTTTAAATTTTTTTCAACAAGCCAAAAACAGAACTACTATTTAAGGCACTTAATATTAACTTTGACAAGACTTACGTCGTGTGTTTCCATTTTTTAAACAGATTTGAAATAGAAGCCCTCTTGCCATTTGATGGTTTTACCAAACAAAAATTGAAGGACTGCACCATTAGAAACCAAATTCCAGGCCTGAAATGTTTTCAGTCATTACTTACTGCCCTTCAAAAGATCTGGGAATCCGTCAGCCGTGTTATCATCTTTAATGGGAACCAGTGAGTTTATTGACAACGTCCTTTTACATGACTTTTTAAATTAAGATTCCAAACGCATTGCTTGTACATAAAGTTCATACTGCAAAAGAACTTGCAGGGTTGCGTTTTATTCCTGACTTAGGGTACAATCGTGTTTTGATGGCAGCAAGGAAAACGTTTTTTTTAACGATAACTCACCCTTTAATTAACGTGTTGATAACAGTTTAATTCGACTGAATTATTAAAACCAATTTCAGAATTCGGGTCAACTCTGAATCAACTACCGCATTCATAGGACGTAGTAAGAAATGTATAAATGCACCATTTGTGTTTTTATCACCAGGACTTTCTTGACATCTACAGAGACTACAAACCTAGGAAATGTTTAGAGACAGAAATTTAGACATATGTAACTCCCAGATGAATTAAATTGATACTTAAATACATAAATTCGAAAATCATAGCCCTTCTAATTTCGGATCAGTTTTTCTAATCATAGAGCAGGCTACTAGATTGTATATCTCTCGATAACAAGTGCAATGCTGAGTTGATTTTTGGGATTCTCAAACGCCTAAGCAAAGTTTGTGTCAAAATCATTCAATTCAAAATATGTGGCATGAAGAGGTAACTTTTCGTAAACCTCTTTAAAAGTCATTAAAATGAACAAAAACAAATATAAACTAATGGTTACTTCTCTATCTTAACTGAAAATGTGGTTGCCTTAAAAATTCTAGACTTATAACATTATGATCAGTTTTTTTATAAAAGATTATCTCACCATGTACAGCATTTTCTGCGCAATCATTTTGTGTAATTATAAGCATTAAAACCAGTTTTTTTAATGTGACCCACCTTTAAACAAACTGATATACTGTCTGGAGCGCTCCAAAACCACCTTTTGTTCTATTGTTATAAAGCGATAGCCCACTCTTTGGAGTAATCTTCAAATTTTCTGGCAGATGTAATCTAGAGTTTTTGCCTACGGCTTCAGTAGCCACGATTTCCTCCCGTATGATTAAGTCGTTTCAAATTTAAATTCAGTAGGTGGCAACAAGGGACTTAAAAGTGTCTCAGTTAAAAATTACCTCATGTCCTTAGTTTGAAAAATTAGCATCGAAAAATAGCAATGTTCCGAACTTGCGACGGATCCGTCAGAAATGCTCAGCCAAGTTTTTGGATGGCTGTCTTTGTGAGTTGTTTAGTGTTTGATCGCTCTCATTTATGTTGCAGAATCACTTACTTTTCGATGACCGCGATATGTGAAGTTGTTTGGGAACCCAGTCAGTAGTTTTAAACGGTGTGTTAGCCTGATCACTTGACACTTATACCAGGGAAGATTAAGAAAACTGGAGACGGTACAGAAAATCGTATACTGGGATGCTCAACCAAGTTGTGTTTTCCAAATCTTCCCTCTTTATTTGTGCTTACCTTGAAATTTGTGGAAATGCACAACTCACAAACAGCGATATTACACAATTGGCACAATGAGTGCTTAGGTTCCATGTGTAGAGGCCCCGTCGTCGTCTGAGAACTACATCGGGGTCAATGGTCTACGTTGATTCGGCTCGACCAGGAAAGAGAAGGGCGTAAACAGCGCGGGGCTTAGCCGTTAAATGCGATGATAAGAAACAAGGCGCTGGTAAATATACGACCGCCACACATTAAATTCACTGAACAAAAGCTACTGCGTGATGTTTTGATGGAAATCAAGTAGTACAACACAGAAACGTTCAATCGTGTCTGGGTAGAACATTTACGAACCATCTTGAGCACCTCTCAGGCTGTCGAGGTTATCGCCAGCACATGCAGGAAAATCGACCGCAATTGTGAAGCTCCATTGACTTTAGTGTTCCACTGCCTACTGCACCCCCCTCATTCCATCTGTTCAACCGTATCCGTTGATTTTAGGTGAAATATAATTGGTCTTCATGTCGTATTCTATTTGTCTGGCGAACTTCTGCCGACTTTAACGTTCATTTTCGTCCATAGGCATACTTAAATCCACATTTTTGATGTTAATGAGGCAGCCGGAGTAGGGTGCTTCTCCTTGTCTCTCGCTAGGCCGTAATATTTTCTTTTGCGAAGACCACACAAATTTCCTGAGCTGTGATCATGGCCTTAGCACCACGTTTTGATGTCGAAAATGCTAGTTGTTGTCAGATTGATACAGCATTATTGGGGGGACAACGGTTAATCGGAGGCAACGTCCTTCTAAAATCCAGAAATTATTTTCCAAACGAATGTAGAATTTGACCAAACACGAAAAGAAAACAGCAGAAAGAAATTGAAAAGGAATCGATTTGTTCCTGACCGTAATTAAACAGCCACCTGTCTGGTTAGACTGGTTTACCATCTGGTTAGACTCAGCATCAAAATAGAGACGAGTTGTCATTTTCGGCAAGTGGATGATAAATAAGTACATGGGAAAATCATAGCTGTCATCTTTTATTCAATTACATGGAAAAGTTAATGTTTATGTAATTGCCAAGTGTGCACATATGTTTAACCAAATTTAACTAACGTATTCAGCCTTTTTACACGGTTTCTCCTAGGTACCATAATGTATCCAGTATTTGCGTATATGACGAAATCAGGACAGCTACTATTAATGTGTATAATTAGTTTCCTGATATTTCAGCTGGTGAAATGGCATTTCAGAATCTAAACCGGCATTTGACTGACCAGTCAATGAAAATTTATTTTAGAAATTATAAATTGTGCTTTTTATTTAACCGGTATTGATACCAACTAAGTAAAGTAGTACAGCAGGTATTTTTGTCTTTTCAACTAAGTTGTAACCCAAGGGGCCAAAAAGTTTTGCTTGAGTGTTGGATCTAATGTGACTAAAACACTTATTGGCGAAATGAAAGCATATTGTTGAATTACTGTTCTCCGACTAATTTGCCACTGTTTGTAAAGTCTTATTTTGATTCCTTCCCTGCGGATACGACCTGAATGCACTGATGTACGTGGCTGACGCTTTGGAAGGAACGGAAAACGAGCACCTCATGGAACTCTTTGGAGTTGGGTACGTGTGGATTTTTACTCCCTCGACAATGGCACCGTTGACAATAGCCGACCAAGTCGAGAAGGTCAACCGCGATAGTATCGTCCTCTCAGAATTCACAATGTTTCGTAAAATACCTGGCATGTTCGGTTAGTTCGCTTTGCATTTACGCGTCTCGATTTGTCAGAATGAAAAAGTACTCGTATTGTGGAAAGTTAACTTTACGATTGTATTTCCAAGTTTATCACCGAAAGATATCATGTTCAAATTACAATTTGATGACTTCGAGGCAGTGATCTCTGACTTCGGAAACTGTGTGATTTGTAGCCAATTGCGTTGGAAACTGCGCAAATCTAGTAGATAATGACCCTAAATCGATTCAAACATGAAACATCAAAATAGTTTCTCGAAATTCGGCACTGAATATTCCTTTTCGCGAGTTAAAAACATATCTTATTCGTCCACATTCTATTTGGCCTAGTTATTTTTCGTTACATTGTCAAAAGGTACTGAGGATTGAAATATGATACTAATGTTTGTCTAACTATTTCACCAAAAATGTTGCATTGCATGCTAATATGGTATGAGAGCCTGAAGCAATGCCTCAGTCCTTTTCAATTTACCCCTTCCACCAGAATCCATAGAGTGAAATGCACGAGTGTGGTGCCAACATCAAACATTTCAATAGAATAAGATCGGCGTTTGGAAAACCTCAAACTACACTGTTTGAAAGGTTTATCTTGTACTCCACTTTCGATGGTGTCTTCTAATGAGAAATCATCAAATAGGATAGTGCACTGCAAAACCTATTTGTCCATAAGTGGACCAGTTTAAGATCACCAAGCAAAAATGATGAGATTGAAGTCCTTTCTTCAGCAGATGCTGTTCTCAAAACTACAGAACTCCATTGCAGTTCACGGCTTTAATCTACAAATATGTAACTTTTAATGGAATAGTCCACATAGGAAATTGCATGCAGAGACTGACGTTAAAATAAAATGGATTAAACCAGTGGTTGAAGTTGAACACTCCTTTATGTTATTTCAGTAAAGGTTCAAACAAGACCCGGGGATTTATGGCGTCGGAATATTAGGGTGGATTCACAACTTTTCTGCATGCGAAAAAATTGTTTAAGTGTTGGGTGTACACATAAGAAATAGAAACAGCTGTTACGGAGGTATCTAGCAAGGGAAAATTAATTTATGTCTCTAGAAGAGAAGCATTAACCTATTTGAAACTGAAATTTTGGAACAAAGCGGACTTGTTATTAGCAAATTCGAATTGCAGGCAAGAATAATGCAAGTCCGGACATTAATTTCGCTGGTGGCTTTTTTACTGTGCGTTCGAATGTACCGATGGACCAATTCACCGATGTTTGCCGAAAATTAGAGCGAATTACCTTTAGAAAAGTCTCTATTTACTAAACGTTGGATGGTTTTCTGTAGTAGGAATTATGTTTGAGTGATTCATTGTTGACATGTCCTAACTTCGTCTTAAAAATATCGGATTGACACGGGTTATTTACTTAACATATGCCACGCAAATGGAATCGTGTCAGCCGGTCGATACCCTCATGAAAATGTTGGGACCTAATGGATACCGACAGAGGATAAGGACAGTTTTCCAAAAAAGAAATTAACGCGATTGGAATTCAGCCTTTATTATTCCTTTTCTGTTTAAGATAGTTTTCTCTCATTTAATTAAACTTGTAGTATCCCAATTAATGTTGCATATCACTCAAAGGTTGTTTTTGGGGGAAAAGTGTGGGAGTAGTGACACCGCTTTTGTTCAGACATCCTATATGTTTTCGTGTTGGCACTAACTTGATATTGTACAGTATTGCTACTTACAGAGTCATTGTTTAATTGCATACCAATCGTTTGCGAGTGACCAAATGAGAACTGATTCGTTATGCATTCACTTGTGTTTTTTTCATAACGAAGCCCAAGTTGCTCTGTTTCAGATCTGTTTATTCCACTGTGGTCTTAATCCACGATTGAAACGATTCACTAGAATTCTCTTCGTGTGATGCCGTCACTAGTTTTTTTCACTGGCTCTTTACAGGCATCCGTTTTAAATCGTGTGCCATCTTACTGCTAAATACTTCCTCCATCAGAAAAACACTAATAGGAAAACATACTTTCTGAAATCATTGGGTTCACTTGAATGGAAATTTTGTGGTGAGAATGATGCAGGATTAAAAATACTGAAATTCGAATTGCTTATGATGGTTTTAATCTTTTCAACCACTAAAATATGAGGCCAGTCGAAATTAGAAGAGCCTACCAAAAGTAGAGTTTTGCGAAAGGTGGCAAGTAGAATCAAAATGCCTGAGACGGCTCAACTCTGACAGAGATTTAGGTAGGCTTTCGACATCCAGGTGCTCTTTTAGTGACCCCTAGATAATAAACTGTCAGGCGTGTCGATTGCTGTGTTAGAAAAGAACTTTATTCAAGGTTTTCTGTCACAAAAACCAAGTTTTAAAAGCCCCTTTTTAAAAGAGGTTATTCGAAGCAAACTCACTGGAATTCATTTCGTTATCTCGTGTAGTGGATAGGTTTCCCACGTCGGTAACGCCATCTAATTCCGGATTGTAGGTTTGGTCTGTCTAAACGACGCGGACAACCGCAGGCGTCATGCTGAACTAGCTCGCGAAGTGTGGCACAAGTCGTTGATGGAGTTGGTAAGACAAATGGTCGACATCTTTCCACCGGAGAAGCCCCTCTCCCTGAACCCTGCGTCACCAGACACTGTCGCCTACTTCCGTCGGCTCCTTGAGAAGCTGCGACCCGGAGACCTTTGTGAAAGCAGTGAACATATGGTCTGGCAATGGGGCCATAGGTTAAACAAGTAGGTACATGCATTTCCTTACACAGTCAGCTAAATATTCTTCCACTTTATAGCCATCTATCTATAGTACATTTGAGGTGTTTCACATTGACTTGATTAATCAAATCGTGTCACATTTTCGACATTGATTTGGTCTTATTATGCTTGGATGCGAAAAAAAAGATTACTTTTGCCAATCAAGGTAGTTCATTAGTAAGCTCTAAAATATGTTCATCGATGCCAAGTGGGGTGTAATCCAGCTAATTGTCGAAGTATCCTGACAGTTGAACACGATAATTATTTCAGGTCAATTGTAGAGCTCTTCGTGTGCCGTGTTTAACCTCTCATGTCGACCTTGAAGTCAAAAGTTGAGCAATCAAACAATGCTGGTAGGCAAAGTGAGAATAACCAATAAATCTACTTACCAATTAGACATCCGGATTAGTTTGAATAATGACAAATTTAACCAAAGGAAATAGATGTAGGTTAACTTAATATGGAAATGGACCTCTTCATTATCAGCTTAAACTCATTAAGGTTTAACAAAAACATGGGAATCATTGCTCTAATCGTTCCCCTGATTCAGATATGAAAGCGAAACCTTCCATGAAAGTCTTAATGGCATTTTAGAAGTTGTAAAAGACATTTAATAAGCAAAATTTCGGATTTAAATTCGCTTTTTTTTTAACTTTTTACATGAATGCGATACCCAAGGTTTTGCATGGACCGAATCCGCAAGCTATGAACGAACTTCGATCTGTGGTAGTGAAAGTGTACACATCTTTGCCATTGGTTTATCTATTTAGATTACAGACTAGCGCATTTAACAAAAAATGTTAATTAGTCCATTTACACTAAAACTACTCCTTGAGCTTCATTGATATTCAAAAATAATTCTGCTTGATGTAAAAGAGTTTAAGCTTTTGAAAATATAAACTGCCCAAGGTTAGAGTATACGAGCCAGTTAATGCTCAAATCATTAAATATTGAGAAAACAAAAGCTAATTTTTCTTTACTTTTTTGTAATTAGCCTTTCACACCCCAGTTTTGAAATGGCGATGCAATTGGTAATGAAGTTTTGAGTTCACTAGGGGAAAATATTTAAATAGCGAACTTGGGAGGCAAGCATTTGTGTTATCATAATTAACAAAAGCAGTCTATGTGGGAGAAAAAGTCAACGATGGTTAAGCTCCAAATATCCGTATAATGATAAAAAGATATGTAAGCCAACTGGCACACCCATAATTGGAAATAAAAAAATTCTTAAAATGTAGTTGTTTCTAGTTAGACTTTGGTTCTTATGGTGAATGCAATAGGCCATTACCGAGAGGACTTATGAATGGTTTTGTTAGACGTGTTTTGCTAGCTTATGCTGGTATCCACATTGAGTAAATAATTTTTATGGAACCAAATCTGTATATGAATATATCTTTATGTTCAGTCATCTCCCCGTAATGTCGCTGTGTGTGTGTCAAACTTACTCTTGTAGCACAATCAGCAATATTTCAGAAATTGAGGGAAATTTCTAGTACCTTGTTAACAAGTTAGTCTCAGAATATAAACTTTGATTTTACATTTTCAACCCAACACGATTGCTTGCTAAAGGGGCTGCGAATTCTAGAAATGGAAAGACCTTCAACCAAGGACATATTTGAGCTGCTAAATGTTTATATTTAGCTTTACTTAGCGACTGGGATTTCCATCAAACGCCATTACGATTAATTTTTGCTGTCGACGAATAGTTTTTCTCAACCCAAAGCCATGCAACAAGCATCCCCTCGGCCCCTCACATTCCTTTATGGAACTTTCAGCTCCTGGCAATTACACATGCACCACATCTGGTTGACATTTGTTGCCTATGCTTTTTAGGTTGCTTTCAAACCCTTAAATAAGCAAAAGTGTATTGTAAGCGCTTAGTGCTCTCCATTTAGTGTTCTAGGAGCGAAAATTCGAGTTATTTGGTTGCATTAACATTTCAGAGGATTTGAGAGAATGACAGCGGTCGCGGAGGAAAGTAACAATGTTAAATTCCTTTAGAGACTTCTAGAAAATTGGTTACTTTACCAAGTATATGCAAAGCATGATTAAACGGACGAACATAGGTGTTAATTACTTATTTTTGTCACAAGTTAGGAGTACAATAAGTCCTGTTTTGTAACAGCTTAAATAAATCATTCAACAGGGAAAATTTCAGGCTTAAACTGCGTTCGAGAGCAGAACTTCTTTAGTATGATTTACCTAACCTACCTGTGCCTGTAGGTTAGGTAAATCTGATTAGAGAGTAAACATATCCTAAAGATTACTTTAACTTTCCATTCCGTTCAATTATTGCATGTTTAAAAGCTCTGTTAGTGAATCACGTACGTTTCAGAGTCCAACAGACAATGATATGTCATGAATTCTTTCCATTGTCACGTCTTTATTTCTTATTCATTAGCAAATTTTGATGGTTAAGAGTAGTCCATCCTCCTGAAATTATGAAGTGTCAAAGGTTCATTCCTTCTCTCCCAAAAAAAATTTGGATTGATATTGAATTGCCGAGAGAACTAAAATAGAGCTTTGCAGTGTTTTTACTAAGACTGTCAACTAAGTAAACACTTTACTAGGTGAGAACAAGGTAAATAAATAAACGCACCCATGCACCAACAAACCTCTTTTTAAATTGGCAACCAGAGACCTATCGTAAGGAGGAACGTCCATGTTTCTCTGCATAAGATATTTGCAATATATTGAATTATGTAGTCAGCTAAAAGAAAACCACCTTTTTTTAAATGCAGCATTATGAGATCGCTTGAGTTGAATTTCGAAGGCGAGCCGGTTAGCTTCTTGCCAAATGGAGGGCTTAACGTCTCCAAGTTCCTAATCTTCAATTCTCGGACTACCAGTGGTCGAATGAATTGGTTTAAGGTAGGTGGATGATGGTTTTATAAAGGGTTTCGGGGCTTTAGTATCTCTTCTATGTGTGACTGGTAAACTTGGACAACTGCCCTCGAACCTCCAGAGGATGGTGAAAGTCACCATGGGGGATGGACACAGGTCCCGCACGCCTGCTGCAAATCCACTGTGAGCTGTTAGGATTAGCGCTGATGTTTAAAAGTTGAGTGAAAATCAAAGGTACCTAGAACCTAGTCAATGCCGTGGTCCGATATGGCACAACGCACTCAGAGGAGACTGAATAGACTTGAAGCGGTGAGGGCTAGTCTATTTCATCAAGCCTCTGGACCAAATAGTGTTGATGTGTCTACTGGGTAACGGAGTAATGGGAGATAGAGTTTTAAAGCCTAAGGATGATTGGGGAGAATACAAATACCTCAAAGTGAAATCATTAATGAAGGGCTTGACTCGTGTGCAAAATTAAGGCATCGAAACCGGTACTAAAACTAACTCGGCAGACTTATTCCTGTGCTAAATTACCCGAGAGTATGATGTCCCAGTTGAGGGATTCAGGCTGAACTTGGTGATTACGCCGGTGATTCTTGGAATCCCTAGTATAGGTCTCGAACTGCATAGGGGTCGATGCGCTGTAAAATCCTACTTGCACTTTACAAATTCCCGGGATGATGGATAAACAACCATTTCTAGGATGGCTTGACTCATTTGTGGACGCGCATTTAATGTCCTGCATGCTTGAGGGATGCTATTGATTAATCGAGTTCGGGTGAAAGGTAATTGAATGGCCAGATTGGAGGTATGACTATTTTCCCGGGATTGCACGTTCGGACGTGCTCGCATAGGTGAAGGGGACGATGCGAAATTTTATGGGGCTCACACCACCCTTTTCCATGTTCTACTCAGTCAGGGAAAATATTATATCCCCCACCATTACCTCATAAGTGCATCTCATTTATGTACGTGTACTGTAAAGTAACTTATTTGCATTGACTGTGTTGCCTATGGCACCAGTGTTGACAGCAGTTTACATGACTCAACTTAAGGATTTGTTGCGGACAATATAAATACTTAAATATTTAACGTTAATCAACGTTTAATTAGTTATTCTGGCTTAATTGGCCAATTACCTCTTGTGTAATTAATCTGTTTTGACAGACGACTTGCTAAAGACACCCTTCGAAGCTTCTGATCATCTTCAGATTATTGAGAAGCACTGGCCTTGCCAGTAAATCGTTAGTTATGCATCCAAAATAGGTCTTCCCCTTCAAAGTATACAAAAACCGTCAACCGCCAACTCGAGGACAAGAAAACTATCATGCATCCCATTGTCCTACCCTATCTCGTGCTTTCAGGTCGGAACGTGGTCAATGAGCAGCAAATGGGGCCGGAGTAAGTCTCGGCTGTGGATTGACGGCGTCACGTGGCCAGGGGGCGCTAACTCTCCGCCACAAGGGCGAGCCCACAGACTCAAATTGAAGGCTGTCATGCTGCAGGAGCAACCACTACTCATTTATGGGAACCTCCAAGTATGTTTGATGGGCACGTTTCAGCTCCAATCTTACATAGGTGTGTTAGGAAGAAAAAAAATGATTTTGCCACTGTAAGATTTCTATAAACCTGTTTTATTATGTCGAGAAAATGACAATGCGCTAAATGATGATGCCGGCAAAAATCTCAATTCAGCCATTACGACCCAATCAACTGACATTTTCACAATCTAAAAGCACTCAGAAACCCGAAATCAGGAATTCTGAAAGGTGTCAATTTACTAAAATAGGTTTACTAAATGACGCACCTGCTTCCACCATACTTGGATTTTTCATTGAGTTGCTAAGTGGGAAAAGTATATTTATTCTGCATGATCCAATACGCAATCGGCCTAAACCTGTTCCTATTTGTTAGTATGTGTTTCGGCAGTGCGTTACAGTTTATTTCACCTCTTCACCCCATATTAAAACCCGAAATCGGGTATAAAATCGACAAGTTCGTGAGTCATTTTCAAAAATGTTGAAGTCATGAACTCATCCGGTATAGGTCTGCTTTTGGTCAAAATCTTAATTCGGTTAGTGGTTATGGTGCTACCGATTTTTCTAAAACTCACATTTTGGGCTGAACTGGATGCAGGAGTTATCTATTTACAAATCACCACACCTTCATTCGAGTTTAAGGTAATCGTTGTGACAACCATCAAGTGCTATCTCAAACCGCCAACTCTACAAATTTTGCAGACTGTGATGCTACGCTAGGTCAACCGCTCAAAAAGTAACCCCTCCGATGTGTTAGTTAACAGAACGTTCACATTCTTCGTTAATCTTTAGTTATGGCACAACCACTTTTGCAGGCCAAAATCTATCACCCAAGATATTTATGTTAGGTGGAATCAATTTATACTTGAATGTCAACAGTACTCTGCCAGTTTTTAAACCAAACAGAAGTTGATGTCATTGGTAGTGTGCTTTAGAGCGCGAAACTGGGTGTGTCTCAAAAGGCCTGAAGATATGAATGTTGTAAATAACAGGTCTAACGCATAAATTTGTACCCATCACTACCTCGAAATAACGAAATTCCTTAGTCTAGTGTGGCAGCAGTGTGTAGCTTGTGCCGACAAGTTTGGCAAACCCTAAACGAGGACGTGACAGTGTGCAAATGTTATGATTTGATTAGAGTTTGAAATTGAACGATAATTCAATATGAATAAGTGATGCCTGATTGCAAAAGTGGCTCAGGTAGTCAAAATGAAGAAAAATTAATCTTGTATGCCTCAACAAAATAATTTAATTTTGAAGTAAAAATTCTACCATCTTTGCTATTTTCGGATATCTCAAACATAACAGAATAAACAGCTCTGGCAGCGACATTTCTACGACCAGTTTTTGATATCTAGACAGATTCCTCTTTCGTTTGGCAAGAATATGTCTGTTGTCTTCGCTTTGTTTGCCTACAACACATGGCCAGCACATGTTCCTGTCTTTTAACGAGATGAATCAAACATTGGAAACGGAAATTGGGATTATTTAGCAAGCCCATATTGCGTAAGCTAAGACAATACTACGGCCTGATCAAGGATACTTTGAGCTTAAACCTTCAATGGACGAAGGCGACCTCGGCAGAGGTCAAATTGAGTAAAACCAGCGGGTTAAGTGTTCTGACAAAACCTTAGCGCCGATAGTGACAAATCATTGAATAAAATAGACCCATATACATAATACAACTGGCCGATTTGTCTATTATAATGTGTTGGCTGTAAAAATATCGCTCTGTAATGACGCTAATTGGATTACAGGCGAACCACCTTTTGAATTACTCCCAAACAAAAAACGTAATTAAATTTCGGAAAAGGAAATGGTAGTAATAGTTATCAGGACATCTGTTATTGTTGGCTTTCTATACATGTGTTTTGATTTTCAAAAGTGGAATTTACGACTAATAACCATTTTAATTAACAACTCAGTGGGTTGTAGGACATGGGTGCTGGTGTTGGTAAATGGGAAAAACAAAAAAGTGAACATGCAGCACACCACAACCGGAACCGGAAAAACCTTAGTTACGACCGTATTTGAAATTTTAAGGATCCTTAACGCGTTTTTGCACCTGTGAAAATCAGAGGATGTTCAATTAATTGATGGCCACGACATCATTCACCCACCAGCTCGACGGCACCAAATGTTTCTCTCGGATTTTTAAGAGCCTGAAATAACCTCATCTCACAACAGCTCGTATGCGTCATAGTTATGACCTCGACACGTGCGTCAGATTGTCGAAGCTGATCAGTTCTGGACCTCATCAACCAGCATCGCATCTTCTGCCTTCTGTACACTGTGCCATCTGTTAATGCTCGGCTGTCAGACGTGTTCTTACCTTTTTGTTTGTCAAGGTCACATTCCCGCCGAGTGCTACACGTGTGTCCGCAACACGAAAACAGGGTTATTGTGTTGTGATTGTGGAAGTAGTGCATTTCGCGTGTCCGTAATTAGCTCCTAGACCAAAAGAAATGGTATCTGAATCATCCTCGTGGTAGTTGAAACATTCCATCTGCTGAATGTAAGTGTAGGACATTGTATTTTTTTATCAATTTACTGTGCAGCTGCTGGTATGCCTTAAATATGGCTGCAATGCATCTGGCTGTGGAACAACTTCATTGTCAATGTTCAGAATTTTATGAGGAAGATCTGAGATGCATTTTTCAGGACTGACTAAGTTTTTTACTTGTGATTCACCTTAACAGTAAGGCAAGACTTGGATTTATTCACTTTCAGTAAGGATTTGGTTTGAAATAATCATATCAGACATTTTGGTCTTTTAATACCGAACTGCCAGTTCCACCAATGCTCAAGTGCAATGATATTTCATTCACACGAATCATAAGGAAGGACACGTAGAGTAAAATTAGGTTCAAAATCTGGAACTTGAACATCAAGACAAGAAACACAAAGCGCAGCCATCTTCATGCTATTTCGAAATTTAATTTTTTCAAATGTCAATAATGCAATATATAGTGTTAGGGTGGGAAATGCTTGTAGGGATTCGTGTTGATTCAGGTCCAATAACCTAGTCCTCATAGCTTCCGGCACGCGCCCCCCATTTTCACGACCGGCCCGTCAGTCACGTGAGGCCGCTGGTTCATTAACCCCCCCTGCATGTACCACCACTACCACCTCCTTTAGTCATGTGACCTTACAGACACCTGTGTTTATTTTTGTGCATGTTCACTCAACCGTAATTGTACACGACACAACTTGGTTGAGCGGTCTAGTAAACGGTTGTGCCTTCTCCACTCCGGTCTTCTTTATTTTCGCGGGAACACAGTGTACCGTATTCGGCGTAGATTGTCGCAGTGGCCCCGGCGTGGTTCACGACAACATCCCGGGGCCCTCAACATGCTTTTGTACACGATCCCAAGACATACAACTGCTAGTAATGTCTCCACTATTCAATAGATTCTTAGCAAATAGGTAGCAATCAGTGTTGACCAGCACACATTCCTTTGCGGCTTTCCATGTGAGCACATGGGTTCCGCGACTAAGGAGGTTCTTAAGAAATTTGCCTGAAAGAATGGGCAACCTGTTTAAACCCAAGTATTTTAAAATGATAATTATCTTTGGCTATCCGTGTAGATGCCATTTCATCGAACTGTTGGCTCTCTACACACTCAGCGGAGTTGTTTCATTGAATCGCTGGCAAAATAAATTCTACAAACTCAGGAGACACGGGTTGCTGCACGTTGTCAATTAATTTTAAACTATAAACCAATGTACTGTCCTTGTGATTTTAGAACCTTATGACTACCAGTGTTGGTGCATTATTCTAATCTTCAGCGTTCACGCTTCTGGTGCGGCACTGTACCTCTACGAGTGGCTATCGCCTGTTGGGCAGGATCGTGGGCGACTTGTCACACCAGGTTAGTCAACATCTCTCTTCTTTCACACGTCGCCTTTATTGGAGGGACAATTATTGAAAACTGATTAGAGTGTTTAACATCGTTATCTAAGTGATATAAGACGTAAAGACGGTAAGTGTTACGATTCCCTACTACTATTCCTGGTGTTATCCAGCACAGACCTCTACTCAAAGGTAACCAGTCATTCGATTCGGTATGCAGTTTTACGTCTTGAAACAAGCATTCTCGACCCCCCGTTATCACGTTTTGCACTTATATTTTATGGAATTCGGCGTGAAACAGAAGTTAAACTTGGCTAGCTGGTTTAGAGGTAAAAAGACTCAGGCGGTCGCACGGAATCAAAACATAACAGAGGCCGACGATCCAGGAAACTCACTGATCCTCGCTTGTATTCAATTGCTGCAATTTGTCCATGTGTTTACTTTGTGAAGCCCAGAATTGATTAAACGAAACGTTCAGCCTGTCAAAAATTCAGAATAAACAGAAACTCACACTTTCAGTAATAGGAAGTTGGTGCTTACAAGTAATTGGTGGTTTCAGGGCCTTGTCGCAGTACTAAATGAACCTGGTCTGGTGTAAGGGTTTTTGAGTTCTGATTAGTATTCAGCTTAGCACATGTCGCTTCGAAGATTTGATTAATGACTTAGGTAGTCCATGAGATGGCTGAAAGAATCAAACAGAATATTTGAGATGTTCATTTGCAACATTATTTGTGCCTTATTGATTAATGCGTGTGTTTTTAAAGCTAAATTTGCTGCGGGTTCGTCACATTATCAGGTGCTGAAAGGCTTGCATCAATGCAACTTTTGCAATTGCCTGCAAGCCTCTCCCGTCAGAGGTTTAAGTCACTGACTGACATTGCTACTCCACGTAGGTGGTGTCTGGAAATGGTAGACCGAATTTCACGTTGGTGGCACCGAACTAACGGCCATCAGACCACTCCCATTCCTTTGACAAAATCGATGAATAGGAAATATAAGTCAACGGTGTTATATGTTTTCGTGATATCCTATATAATTGGATTTGTAGTAATTCTCTTAAAGTGACCAAAATGCTCATTGAAAGTTACTGCATGGTCTTTAACCTGCCCTCGTCTTAACTGGCGAAGAATAATTCGCCTCTTAAACGGGCAAATCTTTAGACCCCTCATCACACGCGTTGCCGTCAGCCTGGTAGATTAGGCAAGAGATAAGTGTGCAGTAGCAGTAATTTCGCTAAAAACAAATAGAACAAACTGCGGCAAAACAGGAGAGTGGAGTTTTTAACCGCTTAGTCCAGTATGTTCAGCTCCATGTTGTTGGTGTACATTGCTGAATTTGTCATTCTTATGCCTCACTGGACGCAGACAATTCAATGGAGCATAAATTAAGCAAATAACACTATTAACTAAATTTCCATTGAAGCAAAGATTATTCGACTTTCTCGCTGTTGGCATCCATTTGGTAAAACGAGTTTGAGTGCTTCAATGTTACGTTTAAAATGCAAATTTCAAACAGGTACACGTTTAACGCGCTTTAAATAGGATAATTGGCGGTGAATCGCCTAGTTTATGGCCAAAAAATCTACGCAGCACGACTGAACTACAATTTTGGACAGTTGTGAAACAAATTCTGATCGCGCGCCCTGAGTGCTCTCAAAATAGATGACAGGGATCTTGGTTCCTGCTTGAGCAGCTGAAATTACTACGTGCCGTCAAAAAGTCGGGTTTTTTAAAAAAAACTAAGTGCAAAAAATTGAAGATGATGATAATTCCTTTTTATTAGCGGTGGTCCTCATAATTGTGGTAAAACAGAATCTTCACAGTCGGTGGCCGATAAATTTTGATCAAGAGCATATACTCAGACAGTTGAATACGACGTTCTGTCCCCTGGTTCTAGAGTCCCCTGGCTTAGATTTTGTGAATACTGATTAAATAGAACATATTCAACTCATGATTATGCAACTGTGAAACTGATAGAAGTTTTGTTAGTCCCTGTGAGAATACACAACACATTTTCTGCGAATTTCAGCACTCTAATGATGCTTCTGGTTTTAATCTTTTTACCACATCAGTGCTGGATGCGGCAAAAAGGAATGTGACAACTCAGCAATAAGCAGACGCTATAAAATTGGCCTAGAAATTTAAATCCTCTCTTTTCAAGAGTGGTCACATGTAAGACCAAACGATATCTGCATAGTACGAATGATTTCTAATTCTTTTAGCGATGCTTACAGTGTGGTCAAACAGGACCATTTTAAGGATTGCCAAGCTTGAGCAAACCGTTTCCACAGTTTGAATTTTGCATGAGTCTTTCGGTATGAAATTGTTAAAATCAGGTAATCAATGTTAGTTCCTACCTAAAAGAAAACGATCGGGTTATATTCCTTTTTTCTTAATGGTTTATTCGGATCAACTATAACATTTTAAATGGTCGTTACAAACTGGAGTGTTATTATTATTAATTGAAACTAAAAAGTACAGCAGTATTTTCCCATTTCAGGTAAGATCGCAGGTCAATTACAAAGTAAAAAGAGGTATATTTCCACCCTATTTGCACACAAAAATGCGAATACATTCAAAAATTTAAATTCAAATTAACATAATTTGCAAATTATGTGTCTGTCAGCTGGTTCTACGTGCATAACCCGTGATTTCAAAAAAAGTAATATAGAAGAACCACTTTTCCAAATGTACAATGAATAGAAAACACATCCAATTTGGCTGGCTGTTCGCAGATGGGAACTGAAATCAAGTTTCAAAAAATCGCGAAGGAAATTTAATAGTCATAAATAAGTTAAATTTAGTTGAAGCTTCCGCCCAAATAGTTCTTCTTCCATCGTTAACCATCAGTTTTAATCGGAACCTAAGTTTCTGGGCCAGGTTATTTGGCTTCTGCCTAAATTCTACATTGAGGCAACTTCCTAGCCCTCATTACACTTTCATTTAAACCGACACATGGCGACGCAATCACAGCGACGACGCGTTTTTATCAGCTCTTCTGCTTTGGTCACATTGTGCCACATCTTGCCTCAACCCCACATTGCTAACGCGTATGGTCATTTAGGTAATTGAGATGCCCAACCATAATAAAGTGACAACCGTTTTGAAATGTTACTACAAAACAGGAATAGAAAAATGCAAAAAAAAAAGAAATTTAACCGTGTGTTCAGTAAACCCAGTAATTTACGCAAAATTTGCACAAAAGTCTTTTTACATTTCTTATATTGCCAGCACGAACAACACTTAGTTGTCCTTAAAAATTTCACTTGGGGCAAAAAAGGTGGATTAAGCAATTTTATTTATACAACAAGATTAAAAGCAATCCGCCATAAAATGTTTACCAGTCTATTTTAAGGGTTAAAAATGTAAGGCACGCAATTGAAATTCATCAAATATTTTTAAAGCACAGCGAAAGACAAATGATTTGGTCAGACACTTGAAGTTGTTTTGTGTTCTAATGCCTTTTGAGAAGGAACTAAAAGAGGAAATCATAATAATATCCACAGAATTTGTTAATGGTACATATTTGGGTAAAATACTAGTCTGTTAACTCTGAGACAGATTTGTGATTGTCGCAACCATAAATGGCCTTTCTCTAAATAAATGTGAAAATTCGGGCTAGAATAGCTTTGGTCTATTTTTAGTAAATGCTAAGATAAAGCGATTGCTTTAGAACCCGCTTCCTGCGTAGTGTATCGTCCAAATACACTTCAGCCGAACACCACATCTTATGAAAATTCACTATGGCAAATGGGTGTTTACTTTCAAGTACTTTTCTTTAATTAACCTTTGTTTTATTGGTATGGTCTCAGTAAGGTGGCAGAATGCCCCTAACTAGGCTACTTTTTAATGTTTAGAGCGCAAATTAACACTGTGTCGATCGCTCTGGTTAATTTGGTCCATGCTCTTTGGAGCTGCAGTGAACACTGAAAACCCGAGGGGTATGGCCAGTCGCTTCATGGCCAGCATCTGGGCTTTGTTCGCCCTCGTCTTTCTGGCTTCGTACACAGCTAATTTGGCCGCGTTTATGATTTCAAAAGATGATTTTTACGACCTCAAGGGCATAAACGATTGGCGAGTGAGTTTTATTTTTTATATCTCGAACAGTTGTAAGGGGTTGAAGTAGCCGCCAGAATTAAAATACCTTTCTGCCGTTAACCATTCTGGCGTAGGCGATAACCGAGATTCATAATCCTGCCAAATCCCAATTATTGCCTGAAGCAAAAATGTTGATTATTTCATAAATTGTTTTTTTTTTCTGATGCAATACACTTTGCAGTAAGTAAATTGCGTCTGAGACAATAAAATTCCCATCGCTGATCCTTCAGGCAACCTTCCAAAATGCACCAATCTTCTGAACTGGATCAGTTGCCTTCAACTTTCAATGCGACATTAGTTGGGAACAACTTTCCTTAAAGCACAGTTAACTGTAACCAACATTGTGACTTTAGTGTCTCAGAGGTTCGAGTTGCACATTGAGACCGAAGAACAGCATAGTTTAAAATGTTCATTGTTTTGGTTCATTAGAGCGTTCTTTGTAATATTCCTTTCCTAATTTGGCCCATTTGCCAGTCTAAGCCGCGTAACTTTATTCAAAGATGGGCGGCGTCTAAGACACAAATGAAAGTGAATAGGATGTGGCTGCTGCCATCTGTTATTTTGAAAACTATCAATATGAAATAGCAAATTAGGTGTACGAGATGGTGTAATCAGAATTTAATTTAAGTGATTATCATGAAAAGAGCCTACGTAACTTCATCTATTAATGAAGGTGACTCAGTCGTTCTTCTGCCCTCTTTCCAGCTCCAACAACCCTGGAACCACAAGCCCCCATTTCGTTTCGCTTCGATTCCCAGTGGTGCAACTGAGGAGAACATCAGGATAAACTTTCCAGAAATGGCTGCCTACATGTGGGCCTTCAATCGGTCCACGGTTCTCGAAGGTCTCAAGTCTTTAAAATCCGAGTAAGTTAAAACGTGAACACATTGCCGAATAAATTAACACAGATTTACCATAGGGTAAGCTTAATACCCCGTGAAATAATTAAGGACAAGCTGTCTACTGGATTCACTGTTGAGCGCGGATGCTTGCAGCTTCTGCGCTGTTATTCTGGTGGTTCCGTTACACTTTTCCACATTTTCACCCCAGTGATTAGTAATGCATAACATGGAAAATGAGACGGTCGACAAACCCTATTGACCTTCAGCTAGTGCTGGACACCAAGGTTTTTACTTCTACTCATTTTGACTAACCAGATCTCGCAAAATTAGTATCCAAGTTTTTCCATCTAAGGCCATGATAGTAAAGCGCACTCACCAACTGAAGCCTCACACACGCACACATTCAACTAATTAGGAACATCGTAAAACAAGTATTCACATGTTTGATTACAACTTTCAACAGCCTTTATTTTGCTTTGTGACGGACAAATTTAAGACTAATTTTATATCTTGCAGTAATAACAAGGCATTTTACTATGTAGAAACGTAATGGTTCGAGTTTAAAGTTTTGCCTGTTTTTGTACAAAGTGTTCTCGTAGGTGCTTAATAACAAGGAAGTCAAAAAAAGCAAGGGTTAGCAGTTGCGTTTTTAATTTTGCTACGGAAGTGATGATGGCGGATTCAGTGAAATAGGTGCCTCAATAGAATGAAATAACGGATTCATAGCTAAGTCGCTCATCCTATTTCACACTGGTTTTATAACCTGTTGTCAAATTCTACTTATTGATTTTAAGGAGAAAGATGTACTTTACATGCAAATGGTAATTTATCTTCTGCTATACTGCCACATTACCCTTTATCTGAGCAGTCAGCTAAAAGTTCTGCTTCAAGCATGCCTTATTCAATGTAATTGTGTTTCCAACTAAAGTGATTCTATAGCTGGATTACTTAGCCATGTACAAATAGCTGAAGGAATCTTACAGTCAATAATTACACCACTGTATTAGTAAGGTTAGTTTTTGTTCACGAATGAACACAACCGGCAGGAAGTCAGTTACCATTAATCAACGCTTTTGCACTCAGCTCTGCTTCTATTAGGGTGTTGTAGTATCCTTCAGTTGAGAATTAAAATTCCTCGAAGAGTAACCACTTCTGGTAGAGTTCTGATAGGGAAATAGGCCATCGGAAATTCATAAATTTAGTACGTGTAATCTTGTTTATGGAACCCAAGTACTTAACTTTGACTTTAATTGAGTGGTAAAGCGTGAAATGCTGACTTGCTGTTGAAGATTTAAGCGATGGTAACCTCCATAACGTGGATCGCAACCACGTGTAAGCTATCTACGCTAAAAATAAATAAAATACATTTTAAATAAGTACGTCGAATCAACCAAGATAATTACCTACAAGTGGTTGACAGTGCAAGGGTAGTGTATAGATTTCCTTAAAATACCCCTATTTTGTAGAGAAATTGATGCGTTTATTTACGACGCCACTATTCTCGAGTATTGGACATCACGAGATGACGGGTGCAAGTTAAAGACGGTTGGAAATCTTTATGCCGTGACAGGATATGGCATTGGCTTTCCCAAAGGCAGTCGTTGGCTTCCCAAGGTAAACTCAAGGATACTGCACTACCAAAAGAATGGCAAGTCAGCATTCGGTTTTTTGTCTACTTACGTTTTCAAACATTTCCCCCCAAACTACTGAGATAATTCTTCAGTGTTTTTACAGGACAAAGATAGGAAATTGTCAGTGACTTTGGTTTTTAGATATTTATGGAATATTATAACTACCTAACGAATAAATAGAAAAATGCCAACGCTTTGAAAAACGATATACTCGGAGTGGAAAACCATTCAGTGAGGGTGTGAAAACAATGCGGCTTTTCACCAACGCCTAATGCTTGGGCATAACAACATGAGCCATAACTCGAACAATGTTTTGCTTTCTGTTCAAATCTCCATCACCGCTGTCCGGTTTGGGTCAAAACGAAAGTTTAAGCTACAGGCGAGGTCATTCTCTTGGCATCAGCCATGCATCGGGCCAGTTCCCTAGTTGACCACGCCTCCTTAAGAAGTTGCATCACATTGTGAATCACCCGGACACATTTAATAGAGTATCTGGAAATAAAAGATGATCGTTTCCAAAGTGTAATTGATGGCGTTCCTCAAGAGTATCGTTGCGTTTGGGCTAGAGGGATTCAAACGTCTGAAACTAACAACGCAATATCCTGGTTATCTTCAAAGGTACCGAACCCTGCACTTACGTACTTAAAAAGAACTATGTAATCGTGTCCAACTTCGTTGCTTCTGCACGTAATGACAATCTCACTAGACTTCTGAACTCAACAATTAACTTCCTGAAGAGCTGTTACATTCCTACATGCAAACCACCTCTTAAAGGTGTTGTAGCAATTTTTGACGACCTTTTATTAAGACAATTAGTCAAATTCTTCTCTAAAATATTTACTTATGGGATTTCAGGGGGAAGCTAATACTGGTTATTTCGATAACTTGAATGCATATAATGTGTATACCTGATCGATTCCACAACGTCTAGGATACCAAATTTGTCGTGTAATGGCCAGTACTGTAAAAGAACTGCAATCTATCTCGCAAAGTAGGAGCAAACGTTTTACCTTGATTGTGCCTATCAAGAGTATGAGATGGACCAAAGATATGTCACACTTGATGGACGGATAGTCCTGGCCACACTTTAGTACAACTCGTAGTCTTCCTCGAGAGTGATTCGTGTGAGGAATAATTTAGAAATTGAAAGCGTTCTCTGACTGAAACACATCCAGAGACACTCCACCGAGCGATAGTTTCCATCTCGATAGCCCATTCATCATGGTCAATTTAACAGACCTCACACAATGTCTGATATTAAATGATAATGCCAACTCGCCGTTTATGTCTAAAAAGAACTTTAATGATGCCGGAGTAATGCCAAACAAGGCACTAAGATGTTTTGTTCGCTTTATTACCTGAACCTTTACATGGATGAGATGATATGCTAGTACAATATCCGTTTGCATCACACTGGGTCAAGTTAAATATGAATAAACTTGAGCTTGTGTTGCAAAAAGAAGTTATAGTTTGATTTGTTGAATAATAACAGAAGCCACTTATTGACAGAGTCATTATTGACCATGGTCACAATCGATTGTTGTGTCTCCAGAGGATTTTGCAGCACTTAAAATAAAACCGCACACGAAATCTTTACTCGTCATGCATGAGGTGAATGAAGAACTGGGAGGGACGACTAAGCGTCTAGCTCTAAAAAGCCCTACATGGGCCACCTTATGTAAGTTCCAAGGCATGTTTTTGATTTTATCAGGGAAATTTCACCGCTGGAAACAGTTCTGGTTAAGCGGAGCCTGCAAGAAGGTAACCGTGATTGGAAACACGAATAAAACGCTGGGCGTAAAGAACTTCATCAGTGCTTTCATTCTCCTCCTCTGCGGAATGCTTTTGTGTGGAGTCATGTTCCTTTTTGAGCACGCATTTTACCGCTACATTTGGCGACGCATTCGAATCTCCAATTACCATGGCTGCTGCGTTCTGGCATTTACGGTAAGTCCAACATTTTCTCAAAATTGCGTGAGTCTTTTGTGAAGCATAACAAAACGTTTGCCTTTAAAAACACGAATTGCTAACAACGAAATGGTATTTTCAGAAGCTGCTCCGATAAAGCCTATTTGCACCTCGCGGCACTGTGGTTGCGGAACAAAACGCAGCGAAATGTTTAATACAGAAAGCCACGTTTAGTCTCAGCAAAATTATTGTGTTGTTCTAGAAATTGTCCCTTCAAAATACAAGTAAGTTTCTAAGTTAGTGTTTCTCAGTCTTTAAAGCATAAATTCTAACGGTGAACAGAGGCTTAATAAACACCATAGTAGATGCAATAGTGCTTGTGTGATACTCTTCGAATCGATTAAGCTGCCACGTCAACTAATCCTCAATAATCACGTGCTATGGTCATATTTCCAAAGAGCTTGACTGGAAAAAACATGAAGAGGTTATGGTCGATGCCCACTGACATTTAGAAATAGCTGAGTGGGTAAGTTAAAGGCATAAGTCGGAATAAAATTTAAACAAAAAGAAGAAACTGCGGGTTTGCCACATTTAACCAAACACGCGGCCTGGCTCTTTCCGACAGGAATGTGGTTTCTCGTACTAAAATGTGTAAACATTAGTAAACATCAGCGTGGTTTGAGCCTTCTCAACCTCAGTCTGTACCCTTAACGAAAACTCTCAAGTGTCTAAATCCAAATCGATATAAAGGTATTCAATGGACAAACCTTTTATCAACAGTCCCATCTTCCAATTCTTTGTTAATTAACGAGTGGCTACCAGTAATGTTGAGCTCGAATTCCCATCCTGCACGCGTCCTGTTCCTTTCTGCTTTCGACTTGATCTCAGTTCTGGGAACACACAACAGTAAAATAACCAACGATAAGTTAATCGGTGATTGCGGGTTTGCCAGGAGATCGAATTTTATCACATTCAGCATGTTTTTCCGATCCCCTCTAAGTGGAAACCAAAGTGCTGATGGGTTCCTGCTACTAGTTAAGCCAAGATGATTAAAAATTCTTCAGAAGTCGCCACCAATTTTAATTCAAAGTGTAGTCAGGGTCTTTGCCCTCTGCTTTATGCTTCGTCATTCTTTCTTGACACAAATTTGTGTTGCCAGGCGCTGTTTAGTAACAAAGTATCACGAACGAACGCTTATTCTAAGAATACCTTGTTCGTTTTTGCAACTCTGAAACACAATCGGACCATCGTTAGTTTGATTATGGTGTTTGGCTACAGTCAAGGTGAATGCCATAGGAAAAAGTATAAGTTTGGCAGCGCCGATTCTATACCTAAATTGGATTCGTCAGTTTTGGACGCGATAGTCTTTTAGGGGTGCAGTGTATTTGCACCACCTTACAGCCCTGTTAGTTTACGGATTGCAACAACCCGACAACAAATGGATGAAAGGTGTCAACAGATACAACAGCTAATTCGCGTACGCGTGTGTGAGCCCTAGCCAAAAGAGCAACAAGCTGATTTTGGGAACCAGTGGAAGGAAAAGGCGAGTCACATGTCAGCTGTCCTGAGGTCAACTTGTCGGGGTGACTCTTACACGCCTAACATGACAATCCGATACCGAGGTGTGGTCTGGGTTGGAGTTTCAGATAACTGAGGTCACATGATTTACTGACCAGACCCCACAGATTACAGCTTGAATGCAAATCCACATGCACATACGTGGACCTTGATTGTGTATTTGTTACTTAAAATTCCCCTTTGTTATACTTTAAGAAATCCTCTGAAACCGTTCATGGGGACTTAAATCTGACGACTGGAACACCGAATGAGCCTTTGGTGCGGGAGAGAGAATGCCAAAATCTGGCCTGCCTGCAGGAGAGGTGCCGAAATCAGCAGGAGATTTTAAAGCTTTCGAGGCACCTCCGATTTCTCATTGATGAAATGAGGGCAAACAATGAGATGCTCTTCAATCATCCGAGACAGTAAGCACATGAGAAAGAATTCAAATATTTACCTCAAGTCATGCAATGCAAAACCGGAACTTATGAGACCGCTACTCAAGTTTCGACAACGTTCGATTACAACAGGCAAAATATTTCCACTTATCAACTTCAAATTTTGACTTTGATGAAATTTCTACCACTGATATGCGCCGATTCAGCATCTTAGCAATTGCTTTCGCTCGGTTCAACCACGGTTTTGTGTCATTCGTTATTGGAACGAGTCCAAATAGCATGGCCCTGGAATTTAAGCGTAATGAATGACTGGCTTGTTGCATAGCTCAAGTTCGGTGCCCATGTTAGCATATTTTCATCCTGAAAATTTGCTGTAGGAATGACATGAAATTAAATTGGTATATCTACTATCAAGGGTGGGCACACTGAGACCAGAATGGTGCCTTTGCTTGACAATTAATAATGGCGAGACAAATGTGCACCGAGAGTACTCTGACAAGTGCAAAAAATGCCCCTTAGAAAGTATTGTTTGAAGCAAATAGCAAGGGCATCTATGTATTCATAGGCTGGTAAAAACATGGCATCAACAGTAGACTGTTATCAATCGAAACAAACTCTTCAGATGTAGGCTGGACAAACTCACTTGAAGCGGTAGTGTTGCTTATCGATTTTAAGTCATGGTTGTGCTTATTTTTAGCAGCTCAAGCTTCAGGGACGATGTGGACCTCCCTTCCAGTGCAAAATCGGCTCAACAACTGTACGGCAACAGCCCGGGTACCAGTGCCGTTATAAAAATTCCACGCACATCATGGTCCAATGACACCCACTTCAGTAACAGTCAAAATGCGATAAGTAAACTTAAGAAAGCAAAAGCACCACCACCCGATCTGCGAGATACCTACGAAGCCAGAGGAGAATCGGTAGCAATGTGTGATGAATCTCGACAACTAAGGCAAAATTCATGTCACCATGGCAGCATCGACGTTCGGGCGGACCTTGGTGACCTGATTCATCCCACTTCCTCGCAGAATATTTCTACTATTCTACAGCAGCAGGTGGCAACGATTAAAAACAAAACTCTGGAACGTGTCGAGAAAGAATCGGTCATTTAGAATAATACGAGTTGTGGATAGGTGTGTGTTTGTGCGAGCGATATTTTCTCTATTTCTTCTTGTTCAAGGTCACAAGGGCAGTCAATATTTTGAAATGAGTTTGCATTTTAACCTGGAAAAACACCAGCGGTTAATAATTTTGGTATTCAATCTGAGCGCCATAGGCTACAATTATTTCAACCTGCAGTTACTGCCCAATCATGTTTTCAATGAACTTATTTTATTCGTAGTTTTCATTTAAATCGGCAAACACTACCCCACTTAACGACTGTAAGCACAGCTTTAGTAAATAGGCCATAATTAAAGTGACACATAATTGCAAAACACCGTGCACTAATGGTTTCGATCTGTCTCTGGACAACCTGGGAGACGCTGTCGCACTGCTTCCTGTTTTCCACTACTTTTTGTCAGCAGTAATTTACGAAACAGTTGGCAAATGCTGAAGAGGATTCCACCGTTTGGATAGCTTAATGAGCAATAAAATCAGGCTGAGTCAGAAATACGCCCGAGCAGCCAATACACACTTATTCCAATGGCTATTTAGACTATCTAAAGATCGTTTGCTGGATATGCGACGATTGTTGGCTGAAGGGTTTTTTTAACGTAACACATTTTGTCTGTACCAAGTTGAATGACTTAGACTTAGAGATCTGCAGTTTAAAGAAAAGGTGGTAATCTTACTAAATAGGTGGCAAATCTGAAACCCGCCACCGATTTCGAGTAAATTTTGATCAAACACTAAAAAGAGAATTGGCAGTTAGTGGTATTCGCGGCTTTGGACAAACAAGTTCTTGCGACGAACCTCCACGATCTTGAAGACCACAGTCTGTCTGCAACCTTGAAAATAATCATATTGTTGAATCTGATTTTGCTCATTGAGGCCGAATTTCACATGACGAGATTCACAAGAAGTCAACAGTTCTTAAAGATTAGACATGCAAATATTACACAATGCCAATTTACGACCAAACCGATTGCGAATGGTTTCCTCGAATCTTTCAGCCGACTTGACAGCTTCTCTGTAAGTCAAGGAATCACTAAATGGTTTGAAGAAGGGAGTCGGAAATCGGATTGTACATCAGGTGCGCCCTGAGTGTGACTGTTGTTCCTTGTAAATTTGATTTCAATACCAAGTTATTTAAATTCACATAGTCTGACTTGGGCAACTAAGTTGCTTGCTAGTAGGTGCAAATAAGGTCATTCACATGCCCTGGTAGTCAACAGACAGGAAAATACCAAAGACCACCGTAGCTTCATTCCTAATTGTGTCTCATTATTTACTAAGTAAATGCACGTCATTTTTCTAAACTACTAGGTACATAATAGATTACATGTGAATTGCTTGCATAACCAGGAAGATGAGGAAGACCGGAGCGGGTGAGGCACAGCCATTTACGAAATGGTTAAACCAAGATGTGCCGTGTCATAGACGCATATTCATGGTGGTGCATGAGTCATTGTTGTAGCTGTTGACTGACAGTCTTTGTGAACGAGTAGAGATACAGATGTGTGAATAATCAGATGGGTGAAGAGGGTAGTAGTGGTGTAGTGTAGTCATTCACGAGTTGAGCGACTGTCGTCGATTGTCAATAACATTGGACGTTCGAGATGCACTCACACGCTTTGCTATAAAGCACTTTGGTAGTCAAATGTAAATAAAGCGGCATATTCGCTATCATCGGTCTTGCCTTTCCTCTCGGGCTGTTACGGAATGTCGACTAGCAGTGTTGTAATGTAGTGCTAACGAGGCGGCTACAGTGGTACATCCAGAGTGGTGAATAAGCAGATGGTCCGGCATGGCTCACGAGCACGCTGTGAAAGGTGAGCAGTGAGTTGGAGCATGCTGAGATAGGGCGGAAGAACTTGAATTGATGCGATTCGCCACAAAGTATTGTTGCTGTTACTTCCCGATTGGCTACCTTATTCCAAGAGAAGAATGCAAAAATCAAAGGCGACGGAGACAACCGGTTGTTTCTTTTATAATCCAGCGTTACATCTTCATTGTGTTAGCTTAAATACGTTTAAAATGTTTACAATGTTAAGTGGAATAAAAGTCAATTCAGATGTTTATTTAGGAGGAGTTCCTCTTCATAGGACAGTTACAAATTAGCTTCGTCGATTTCAAATTGGTATCTTCAATTTAGGCAATAAACTCCATTATGTTCGACCTTCCAACATTGATAATGACTTTATCCCTGAATTAGTGAATATTAATCCAGGGATTATCGCTGAAAAGATTGCTGGAAAGCTGCAGTTCGACAGTAAAAGTAACTTGGATATGCTTCCGTACGCCAAGGCATTCCCTGATTTTATTCGTTCTGAATTTAGTCTGTTTCATTCTGCGCACAATAATTAAGGCGAAAAAGGTGGAACGCTTTGGGGGATATCAAGAAATGCGTCTCAATTTTTTTTCCAAAGTTAAACCGCACTGGTTCTACAAAGAAGGAATTCAAAATTGTGTAAAACTTTGGAATACAGTAATTGGAGAATATGAGGGGTACATACCTAATTAATAAGTATTTTGTATTATGAAAATACGTTGCATTGAATTCGGTTTTAAATTGGTCCGGAAGTTTGCAATTACCCAGCTTTCTAATGGATCGTTTTAGTTTGCGCGTAAATATGGTTCTTGCACGAGAGAATTAGGGTGCCTGCGCCCCTGGTGCGTCAAAAAGACGGTATACATGGGAACTGGGGATGGCCATTTGGCTATACAGGAATCAGGCCGGTGACTAAGCACCCAGGGTTAGGATTCACAACACACTGCTGGCGTAGAAGCAATGTCGATCTTCCACAGCCTGCACAACCGTCTCTCTGTACCTACGTACCAGTCATCATTATGACACATGGTGTCGAGATTGTGAATAAGCAGTCATGTAAAGTTTGCCTTCCTCCTGAGTGATAATCTTCAGGCTTTTTAGGATAGTCATCTAGCTGAAGGCGACCGAATCGGTTCACCAATCACTGTAGCTTGTGTGTTCAAATCACGGTGGGGTCACTAAATGTAGTGACTTGGTAATCACTACTTTACAACCCTACAGCTTACGGTCCTTCAAAACCCGTAATCAGAGAGACAAGGAGATTCGACAGATGATGCGACTGTTTTTAGCGTCACGCCAAGCTCATCAACTGTTTGCATTTGCCAAGATACTACCACCTCGAATCCGCATTTCATGCTAAACCTTCACAACGCGGATTCATGTGAGGCGATGTGTTGCAATGAAATATCACTCAACAATCCATGCTATGCGCTTCTTGGAAAAGACATTTTTTGTGCAGTCTTGGAACGAACCCAAAGGAAAACAATGATTTGTGAGTGCACACGTGTGTATTAAACACTGACTGTTTATTAAGAAAGCAACTTCAGGCAGGTAAAAATTTTTTGGAAAAATTCAATGGTAAGACAGAGTTCCAGAAGTGAATCATAAGATATTTACTTTACTTACTAAATTGTCATTAAGGCACGCATAAGTTTCACAATCCTAGGTTGTTTGCAAAAATACAATATCTTTTTAAAACTAAGCATAGAAAAAGGGGCGGAAGTAGCATAAGTTGGTGTGCTTGAGTATACTGTCTATGTTTTTGTACAATTTCCTATTACGTGTGGTAAAGGTCATTATTGTAGGGACAAGGAGAACAGCATAATTACGTCATATCTAGACAAGATTAAATGTTTCACTGTACAGGTCGTTTTGAAATGTGAATCCGGCTGCTCTCATGTTGATCAATTGACGTCTGTGTTCGCTTGCGAGGCGATGCAGTTCTTCTTTGGTGCTTGAGACCAAGTGGTTGAAGAGGCTCACACCGTTCGAATTAGTGACCATCAACTGAAAGCGAAAGGCCTGGCAAATGAGGTCCCGAAGCCACGTGACCTCTTCGTGATTGGTGAGACCTTCACGATCTAGGAGAAAAGCAGCCGAATGTCTCAGTGCTATGGTCTGCAGTACCTGGCTTCGCTTCTCTTTTGCCTAGCTAAGACATCGGTGATGGTTTCGTAGAAGCATAGGGAATACTGGAGATTTATTTGAGTGTCGAAATAGGTAATAATATCGTCACCTGTTGTCCAAGTGCGTACACTATAGGAACTGACATACCGCGAATGCATGACCCGTTGTTTGGGCTGAATTAGGACCGACTGCGGACAGGAAAAGACTGTGGTAAGACTTTGTCTTGCCAAATGCTTTGAGTAACAAGCAATCCAACGAACTAATGACTGCCTTTTTGACACAGTACAATATGTGAGAAGTTTACTATTAAAACAATGAAATTATGGAACGAGGGACTTTATTTACTTTAGCTGAACAAAAATTCTGGTGCACCAAAATAAAATATATTGGTCATTGTAGTCCTTTCAACCTAAAATTACTTACACCTTTCATGTCTTTAAGGGGGTTCATTTGAATGATGAACGTTTTAACGCTTGTTTCTTGATTTCTACTTTTTTTAAGATTTAGCGGTGTATTAGTTATTAGCTAAGTGACTTGCCTGTTCCACAATCTTTTAAATTCGAATTCTCACATCCGCAACAAGTGAGATGAAAAAAATAGTCTTGATTATTGTTAGTTTCTCATTGAAACCTCTTGCATTTTCAAAGGGTTTTAGGAAGATTTTACTGGATTTTAGATGTAATGAATGCAGCAGATTGCAAAACAAGTTACTTACAGTTTTATAGTAGTTATCTCACCTGGTGTTACGAGGAGGACAGCTAGCAGTAGGCCAAGTTTTAGCGGCTCTAACCGATAGGATTGAACTTGAAAAGCGAAGTCAAAGAGCAAGTTGACGAACTTTTTACTCATCGGAAATGTAAGCCACATCTGGCTCTGGGACAGAGTGAAGTTCCCCGGACCGCAAAATGTCTGGCTTTCTTCGTCGACATAAAAGCTGAAGATGACGCATGCCAACTACAGTATCGAAAAAAAACAAGAAAAATTGCACAAAACTGCAAATATCATGTGCTTATACAAGCCGAATTTAGGAACGGCTTGTATACGCCGCAAAGCGTGGATTGAATTTGACCCTTTAAAGATAGGTTATTACTTAAGATCATTTAACCCCATTGACGAAATTCAAAAGTTCCAAAGTCAAATGGAGATGCAATTTGTTCTCTTGGTAAGTTCAGTTATGTTTTACAGACGACAATTTTGTCGACAGAGGAAATTTCCCCTTCCAAGTTAGGAATATAAATCAAAACAAAGAAAGCTAAATTCAGTTCAACTAACACTCCGTTTTACCAATTCTTGTGTGCTAGCACTAACTGGATATTTTTACTGGCATACAGTCAGTTCTCCTTTTGGAGACCTGGCATGTCTTATCTGATTCATATCTGTTATGAAAGCATCTGGAAGTAAGCAAACCTCTATCACACACACACACACACACCGATAAATAAGGAGTGAGTTAAAGATAACAAATGCTTTACCACTGGTGATAGAGCCAGGTTAAATTCCAGAAGTAGTCATATTTTATTGCGGAGGAACGCTTTTATTAGTATAAACTTAGTATTCACATCAGTAAGCAATGTTTGCTCAATTATTTTTCAGGACGGAAACTGGAAATTTCACCAACCTTCTGCTATTACAATAAGTTCTTTCCGAAAATCGAAGCTTTCAGTGTGACGAGGCGTGGTTTTTGGATAAAAGAGTTAAAATTATCAGACCGAGGGATTATTTTCGGGCCAAATAAATTATGCCACTTTTTGCTACTTTTGCATTGAAATTTACTGTTTTGCTCTCTGAATTCGGGCTGTATTGGAATTTGCGAGTAGAACATATTTATGCGAGATCACGGCCTATAAAGAATATCGAAGTTCAAGTGTCAAGTACAAATGCCAGTTTAACAGATGCACAAGCATTCGCCCTCAAACATCGCCAAAACACGGGCTGCCAGGTCCGAAAAGTCGGATTTTTAGTTTTGTATGAAAGGCACCCACAAGCGCAATCAGTGGCATGATATCCACTTGTCCACATCTTAATCTGCCAAATTAAAGCAAGTATGAATGCCCCTAAGGCGAAGTTGTGTAGTTGAAAGAAGTTAGATTCCAGTCAATAAGACTGGTTAACTGCTTGTTCCAAAGTAAGTATCCTCAACACTTCTAATTATTTAGGCGAATATTTTCATAATATTTCTGCTTATTGCACCGTCAAGTAAAAAACACGTTGCCCAGCAGAAGGGCAATTCAGTGCTAGGTCATGAAAACTGGCTATTCAAGGGGCAGGTTCTCAGCACATTTCAAGACTTACGCACTATAAATACCATAATTTAAAAATAATCGGGTTGTAGGAATGACGCAAACTTACTGGCGTTCGTTTATTTAAAAAAGACCGTAATTTAATTTGCGTGTAATCTACAGACCTGATTTTTCTTTATTTTTATAGCCTCATGTGCGTAGTTTTCCATGTCACAGTTTATTAGATAAATTTTCAAAAATCGTTATGCTCTACTTAAATGGGCTAAAGCTGTGTGTTATAGAGCCAAAGTGACCGAGATCCCGCTTCACTGATCCCTTTAGCTGGTTTTCCTCATGTCTCACTTCACACGCTTTCTCCATACCGACATAATTATTTGAACTGTGTTCGTTAGATTGTATTGTTACAGACCGGTTTTTCAATTCCAAAAAAAACCAACGCTCGAACCTTATTCAAAGTCACTTTAGGATCCTTTTAAGTGTATCTTTGACGTCATGAATACTGGACTTTAATTTGTCTGAAATTCAAAACACATATTGTGCTCTGCTAATTTCCGCATTATTTCTGCCTCAGTCCCTGATATTCCTTGTGCGGTTAACCGCCGACCCTTGATTTGACAGCAAATCGCAGCTCCATTTACAAGCAAGTCATTGGCATTTCTGCCTTGGCCATTAACCTTAATTTAATGGCACAGACAAACACAACTGCACAGGCTTCAGTAAAACCGTGAAGTAGATGTGGGCAATGTGGAGGAAACCGTAGGTTTTATAACTGGAAAAGGATTCATAGAAATATCGAGGTGCCGAAAAGACTTTTTGCCTTTTCCACCAAAAAAAGTTAAATGAACGGAAGTTGGCCTTTAGCTTAGTCTTGCCCTCACTAGTCCCACAGTGGAAATCAAAAAGATTCTGGAATTAGGATTTTCAGATTAAGCAGTGTTAAGGGTTAGTTAGACTCTTCTGCTAGGTTGCGCGCAGATTAACTTACTTCAAAACAGCCTGACTGCACAAGAACCATTCGATCTTCGGGGAGAAGGTCGGAGAAACCGGGAATACGCTTAGCAAATTTAACGGCATCCTGCATGATCCTGTCAAAACAGGTCTGGAAAGCCTGAAACGACTTGTGGCGCACCTCAAACGCTTGAGCTGTGTGTGGCCTACCATCCTAAAATAACAACCAACCTGTAGAATTAGAAGTTGAGGTAAAAATATAAGAAAAAAGGATAAAACGTTCGCGTTAATGTTACACAGAATGCTTGAAGGCGTCATTCAGGCGATCTCAGCAGATTCGACGAATTTTATTTCATCAGCAAGTCCTTTGACTTTTACTCTGCAACGCAGTGACCAACAGTTAAACTAATTAGTATTTTTAGCCAAGTCACTTGTTTAACTCGAACAAAACGACGATGTAGCAAATCCCCAATAAATGTAACCGTGAAGGGAATTTAAAACATCCCTCGCTGTATTTTCCTACCTGTAACCACTGATAATTCACCAAGTCTCAGATTGGATTCAGCAAAACTATTGGTTGAAAATTAGTTCATTAAAGTGTTCCTAAATATGGAAGGTATTCGATCAAAAGATTAACAAAATGGACTGGTTTTCAATAAATTTATCAGAATATTAAAAGTACAGATAAACTGAATTTAGTCGGTCATTGCCAGGTAGTAATTATTTTCATATTTTTCTATCGTTTGCAACATTTCCATGGGTAATTCAAGTAAGAAACGCTAGTAAATTGACTATTAATATTAACCATTTCTCCGTATGAGTAAACTAAAGATCGTTTACTTGTTCGGGAATTGATGGCATGAAGCTATATTCAGATATCCAAATCGTCTTTAGGGGGATTAAAATGAATGATCGGCTGCATTTTTTCATTAAATATGATTCTGTAGAATTTGGTATTCAAGTGCTGAATACTTGCAGTATGTGTTTTTGCATTAATTTATGTGATATTGTGAGAAGTCTGTTACTCTGGTTTGCCGTTGTCGTAAACTCGCGATGAAATTTAACCAGTGGGACAAGTTGCAGGGTATTTGTATTGGGGCTTTGAATGCATTTACTATCACTTGCCTCCCACTTGACTACCCCGAAAAGATGCTGGAGAGTGGCTTCATTTGCCGCGTGGATTTGTTCTTGAGACCGTTTAAATGCTGGATACACCAAGTGATCCCTAAAGGTGACACAGAAGGATGACTCAATTGTCCGGAGCAGTTCCGTCAACAGGGACCCACCGTCTGGGCTGATGTCGGGCGAAGGCAATGCACACCTTTTCGGGAACTAAAGCAAAAAATATCAAAGCTTATTGCAAACATGCTCATTTTGTTTAAGTAGAAAGACTAGAAATTCATCAAAGACAATAAATGAAGCATTTTGGAGTGTCCTTAAGATCGCTAAAACAAGTTTTATATCAGCTTAAGGCTATTTGCTTCTGCTCAATTCATATCATATACCCAGACAAACCGTAGACATATTTATTGGTGTGATCCACGACTCAGTGTTTTGACTGTGATGGCAATTTGCGGGAATTATGAATCTAAACTACAAATAAAAAAGTGCTTTTAATGACGCTTAAAATTGTGATTTCTTACAGACGCCTGTCATGGAAGCCAAAACGCTCATGTGTGACAAGGTGGTTTTGAACTGACTACTTCAGGGTTACTTAACAGGAGGCAAAAAACAAAAAATCAGCCATTTTTAGGAAGTGAAAATGACACTTGGCAAATTAAAGTACTGCACAAATTCACGTAAGATAATTCAACCACTTTGTTTTGATTTACAATTGTATAGCAGTATAACAGAACTATAACGTTTGCTATTTTTTCACGCTTACGAGTAAGTAACAATTTGCAGAATCGTATCTGAGGTACTAGGAGCCACTGATGGTGAATGTTAGTCATCTTCCAGCTGGTTAAAATATATAGTGACAACAACTAAATTAACATTCGGTTTTTGGCATCTACAACTCAACAGTCACCCCACACCGTTGTCCACACCGGCAACTCATCATTGTCTTAGTTACTCAACTCATCGGTCTCAGACCACCCAGGGATGCATAAGTGGGCACATCTGAGCACCCATTTGACTTTCGCTTTCGGCCCCATCCTGTGCTCCAACCTTTGGTTCAGACAGCACATGCTCTAGCCTTCTCTTACTCTGAGAAATAAAAATAGGCTGCAGTTATTAAGTCCGGAGATTCGCACCAACATACCCGGTAAAAAACATAGCGTCTGCTCACAACCAGAGCAGGTGAAAAAAGTGCCACAATGTTCGGACTTTCATTGAAAAAATTTGTGCTTCACATCAACTACAGCAATATGTAAAGCCATTCAGCTAATGCTTATATAAACATAGTTGTCTCTTATTATTGGTACTGATAGTTGTGTACTAGGCTAATTATACTAGTATCAAGCCTCGATTGTCGATCGGCCCTCAGAATATCAGTATCTAGTGAGCTTGCAATTTTTACACCAAACATACGTTTGCCAGTTGTGCATCTTGATAACTATTGTCTTTCCTAGCATAATTCAGTAAAATTAATGTTATTGCTTGCTCTACTCGGGTCTAATTTCGGTGGTTATTTTTATTCTAGAAAGGCGTTTAAGCAAGACACTTCTCGAGCCACAAGAAACTAAACCAAATTCAAGAAAGTGCGCTATCTTAAGCGATGGTTAATTATGCTAAACACTTTGTGTGGAGGAATTCGTTAAAATGCGATGATTAATAGAATACATTAAAGGAAAGGTTTTCCCCAGTCTTATGAATTACCAGCATCTTTATCTTACAATCTCTTTAGGGCTGTGAATTCCATTCCTCTTGCACTAGACTGTGCAAAACAACAGGGTTGCATTTAGTGCATGCATCCTTAAATAAAAGTGATCCTTCGGTAGACTCGGGATGTGAAGAGCAACTGTGGTGGCCCACACAAATGGCACGAAAAACCGTCTGACACTTAAATAATACGCACTTGTTCTTATAAGAAACAACTAATCATCAAGTGGCTTCTACTCAAATGCAGGCTGCTTTTGTTGCAAGTGGGAAGCCGGATTGGAAAGATAAACATTGAGATGCAAAAAGTGAAAGAAGATTAGCTGGGTAGAGGTCTATGGTGAAAATACATCAGCAGTTATTAAATGCGAGGCTCGTATGTTAGCTGTAAACCGCAGTACACTATGTGGATGCAAAAGGAGATAAACCAAACTTGTCAGTTTGTGTAGTTGCACACAGTGAAAAGGGAAGAGCATTAACATAATTCTTTTCTTAATGGAACATGATGTTTGAAGATCAATGGCGTATCCCGTGTGTCTACGACAACCGTTAGCCATGGCAACCACCTGGGTTAGTCAGCAAATCAACAGGAACAGAAACAGCTAAATACGTATGTTTCACGTTTGCTGAAATTCCCTTTTACTAGCTGTTTATAATAGATAGCATGCGGAGCTGTGAACTTCGACAAATAACGAATAAAAGTTACCCCTGAGTTTATTAAATTGTTTAACAGTTAATCTAGTTATTTCTAATTATCGTATGTGGGACGTTTACTGGTTTGTTTTTATGCAAGTTCCTTGCCAGTGATAGAATAATTGCTATTGAATACTTTCGCAAAACATTTAAAAGCACAGTTTCTTCTACTGGTGTATCAGAGTTGAAAGGTAATGCCGAGAGGCAGTGTAGAGAACGAAATCGAAATCACCCAGTGGCAAAATATTTTCTTTAAGGCGCCCTCTCATTTGCCTTGTCCAGCCCGGTCAACAAAACCCCGAATAGCAAGCCGGACACGGAATCGTTTGTCTTAAACACCGGCACACTGCGAAAACTTGACAGTTTTATGTTGATGAAAATATTTCGCGGTACAGGTAGGCAGTAATGGCTTAAAACATTTTGTTTTTTCTAATCAGATTGCTACATGCAATTTCTTTGTAACATTCAAAACAAGAACGCATTTTTACCCTGTGTTGTATCAAAAGGTATTTAAGTTTGCAACTTAATCCGCACACTTCCAGATACCCTGAAACAAGATATTTGGAAGCCGTGACGATAGGCTGTTGGACTGCTAGTCGCTGATCCAAAAAGATGTTTAATTCGAGAAAAACATTATAAACTGATTAGCTCAACTAGAAAGGTAATAAAATGGCCTATGGCCAACTTTTTTCTTTGAGTTCCTTTAGGATCATTTATTCCAGCATCGAATCCTGAAGCCTGCATGACTAATAGTCAGAAATAGCCCTACACGAGGCACTTTGAGTGCGATACAATAACCTTCGGTGGGTTAATTTGTCTGTTCATTTTGACTTTGGATTATTTTAAAACAAACGCTTCGACGCGGATACATCCAACGTCATTCAAGATTTCCATAAAAGCAAGGTTAAAAAAGTGTCTAATTAATAATCTCAAGTGTATGAAAATCTAACAGACTAAATTATTAACTTGAAATCAAAACCAGGGTAAAAGAAAACACGTTGCCTTGGTTTTATCAAATAGGAAATATAAGTTGGTTAAAATAGTTTATCCTACTTTTGTTCAAACCGTAGTGTTGAATTTTACCAAGAACACAAGACTTGTGGCTATTAAAAAGGCAATACACTGATTACCGGCAAAATAAACTTGTACTATGATTTCTAAACGCTTCCAACTAGTTAAAAGTTCTCCTGTTGCACCCTTAAAGGTTTTAATAGCCAATTTCTTTAAATTAAACCACTGACCCCACTATTCAAAAAAAAGTAACTAAATATTTTACACCCAACGGGTCTTTGCCATAATCAAAGAGAGATATACTGGTATCATAAAATTCATTCAAGAAACAGTTTATTAAGCCTTCTGGATAATCCAAAGGTGCTTTGGAACGACATGCTCTCGAAGCATCCTACCCTCTTCTTTCGACTGCACTCCATCCAAGTATTTTAAACACAAACGAATATTCCAACGCTGTACACTCAAGGCTGAGGATCCCAGTGGCGAAATTAATAAAAGGTTCTCGGTATTTCTGATGTTTGGCTATCTTTTCTGTTATCTAGTTCAATTTGAATTGTCGAAAGGTAGGGCAGTAACGTTGCATCCTCATTGGTGCAATAAAAGGTAGCTTTTCAAGTCCCAAATAACCATTTATCGCCTGCCAATGATTATCTACAAGCTACAAATTAACTTGAGAAATTGTTCAATATTTACGTTGGCATTAAGATAAAACCTGTCTTTCTTAATATCATTTAATTCCAAGAGATGTATCATAATATATCGTTGAAAATTATTAAATTCTTCCGGAAAAATCACTAACTCGTGCTAATGTGGCTATCCAGTGTTTGGCATTTAAACGTTATTCGGCTTTCAAGGTTTCAAAAGTCCGTTAAATTGTATCTTTTTTTAAGGGAGGCCCGATAACTGATTGGGTAATTCAATTTTCAAGGCAAAATGGTTTCAAGTCACCGCTGGTGGGTCCAGCAGAAATAAAACGTCAGTCTGAAATATCGCACATCTGTAAATTTTCTTTAGGGAAAAAGCAGAATTTTGCCTCATTTCTTTTTCTTAACCTTTTATCTTCATTTAAATTCAATAAAAAGGTAATCCACTACGTATGTTTCCTGATGGACAAACGTATTCAGCTCCAAAGAAGCCCTCATTTCCACTTCGTCTAGTCTTACAACTGCTGGAGCACTTTTTTAACATTCACCATGTTGTTCTTCAGACTTGGGGGACTAACAATCAGAGGATCTGTAGCCAGTTTAGCCACGTAGACATCTACTAACTCTCAGCCAGTCCCCGAAAGCAATTTCCAGTTTCAATCAGTAAATCTAACTTCTCTGGCTCTTAAGCAGTGAAATTAACCACCATAATAGCACTTGCCTTTTTTAAACCGAGTATGATGTCAACATACCCTAATGAGCCGCTTTCTGTTTCTTGTATGCGCTGCAGTCTTGGACTGTTGCATAGCCGTCGATGTGAGAATCGGCGTGGCTTTCGGACCGGCTACCAAATGAAGAGTTTCTGTGTTTTCGGAAGACTGATTTACCGCTCTCAGCTGTTTGGTTTGCATGGCTGCTGGCGGTTGGGTTATCAGAGGCATATTCTGTTGAGTGAGCGATTGAGCAGGAGTTGATGATGGTCTGATGCGCGGTTTTATTGGTCTGAGGCGTTTTCGTTGGAACGATTCCTGTCCTGTTTGAGAGGTGTTGGCTGCTGTGGGTGAGACGGAAGTTTTTTGACTGCCCTCATTGTCCCCCATCCATAGTAGAACAAGGCCGTTTTTTTGGTTATCCTAATGCAAGATCAATTACAAATGGCCTGTTAATCTACCATGAAAATACTTTTAATTAGTTGTACAATATAACACAACCACATAAACTAACTAGTTTCAATTTTTTTAAATGTATTTTATTAATATCATGATTTTTGCCAAATTATAAAAGGAAATCACTAGTTGTGATAACAGAATCGATGTGGTGTACATTTTTAAATCAAAACTATAGACAAACGGATCTACAATACTCACGAATTAAGCAGTTTTTTACCAATTATCCACGAACAAAACCGTACGATTCCTGCGTCAAAAGATACTTCACTTTACAAATAAAAAAATTAGGAATCATAATTGACACACAAGTATTTTACCCCAATTTATACACCTGTTTGACTTCAGGAGGCCTTCAACCAATTATGCGCATCTTTTGCCTTCAGAAAGAAATGCGTCGATCAGTTTAGCGTGGCAAATTAAGTCTAAATTCAATGCCAAAGATTGATGTATATTTTCGAAGTATCTAAATGATAAATGCAGAACAAAGAACCAATTTTGCCCGATATTTACTGAAGTTGTTCTTTTCTTAATTTCAATCTCCGAATTAGGCTGCATTATTACGGTTTGTTACGCAACCTAGTGCGTTTTGAGAGTTTCGCATTTGAACAAAAACAACTTTCCGTACTGCCTAATCTGTTAGTTTGGCTGGTTTAAATACCTTGAAGGGCTTCTGTAGGTCATTTGGCTGTTGCCGCATTACAACATAGTTTATCCTTGACATTCTGACATCACAACCATCAAAGGCATAAATTACTAGTTCCCTAGAGCCAGGAGAGACTTCTTATAACTGTGTTTTTCTGACTTCCGACGATCACTGGCAAAACGGTCCACTTTAGAATAAATTATTATTATGGACAATCCTAAGTGGATTATTATTGTAAGCAATAATAAAGGGGATTTTTCAGGACTACCATGAATCGAATCCAATCATATATAAGGTTATTTCAGGCATTTGGGTTTGGGCTGCAATATTAAGAACAAAATTATGCATTCAAAAGTTTGACGTATGCGCAAAAACGAATTCGAGGACACTTTTTCATGATTATCACATGATTAGCCTTTCCTACCATACAAAATCTATCATACACGGGAGAAGTTAGCTGTTATATGCTAACTACCATTAAAATCAAGTTGGTAGAGGTGGAACTTTTATTGATGTTGTATTTGTGCAAACATCAGAATGCAAAGAACAAGTGTTTACACATCAGCAAAATGCTGTTTCTGAAGAAATCCTTAGAACATTACAATTCCTCCAAAATTTGTATTCCTTTAACGAATTCTTCAAGTCGGCTGTCCACTATTCAGATATAGGTACTGCCACGGAAACTAATTTGGCGGCGATTAGCAGAGGTCAGCACTGATCAATCATTCAAGTTCAATGGGATTGTCTGCAGTAATAGCCTTTACCATAGTTTCGTTCGAATTCCCTTGTCAAACTCATCTAGGACTGACTGGCAAGGTTAGGTCTCAAACTAGTTTAAGTAGTCTAAATAAATTTTAAGGCCAAAATGTGGTTATTTTGAGGGTATTTTCTGAAACCTCATCCCAGCAATGGCTATGCTTCTACATATACCGTTCGGGACCTCTTCACTGCGAAACCGTGTCCTCAATGCTTTCTACCTTAATGGGTTTTCATTTTTGGGACGGCTGTGGACAGGCGTAGTGATTATCAATATTGCATAAAGGAAAGACTACAGCTCCGGCTAATGCTGTGAACTTTGCATCTGTTTAAATAGCCTTTTCCTGGAAACTTACAAGAAAAACACAGCGATAAAGTGATTATAAGCAAAGATATAACAGCTTACGAAATCTGGTGCCTTTTATTTAAAGACATGAAGTTGACTGGGTTTATGTTATTTTTGGGGTGCACTATGTGTGATTCGAAATTTCAGAGGTTGGTAGATCAAAAATAAGAATGTTGCTACCACCGTAATGTCCCTGAACTTCTAATTACATGTCATTACAACGACAGAAGGCTGCTTCCACAGGCCTTTTATCTATCCGCCTGATTGCCATTGAGTGACATTAATTATTTACGTGCAATTCCGTGCTGATGGGTGTGCAAAATATCGATTTGCCACCAACATAGATTAAAGGGTTTAGTTCCGAAGCTAAATTTTCTTATAAATGCGATTCACAGCAATTTTGTTCTATCTCTAAGAAAAGAAAAATGGATTAGTTTTGCAGCATCATAAATGAACATTTTAACCCAAAGCGTTTCTCGTCAAATCGAACAGATATTACCAGTTTGTCCACCACAGCTTTTCCTCATGGCACTGTTTTAGCATGTATCAGAACTATAGTATTTATAATGCTAATTGCTTTGTTTAATGACGATGGTTTGCCCAAGTCTGAGTTTCTAGATACTTACCCTAAGGCATAAAACGCCGAGCTCACACTATTTGCCTATTAAAATGCGCAGTGTGCAAGTAGAACCTCATTGAAGTCTCGTGAATTGTGTCAATGTAATTTTTAATATATCGCTTTGTGGTGATTAAACACTTTACATCACTATTCCTATCATTAATTCAAAGTTTTAAATATTACACCAAACATCCGACGTCTTGCATTCGTTTGCGTAAGGCTCAGACGATTATGATTCGACCACAGTCGTTGCCAGATACATTCCCGTATGCCTCACTGCAGCAGCACGCAACACTCAAGTGATGCTTGCGCTTGCACATTAAACGAGCTATCACTGCAACTCAACGACTCGAGCGAGATCTTCCATGTCGCTGATGGGTGGTGCTGTGGCTGTGGCTGAAAGTGGTGTCTGCGAGAATTCGTGTAGGCAGGCGTGTTTCGCCCCGTCGTGCATCCACGATAGCGCATAACATACATTGGGGAACTGGCACCGCATTTATTTATGGCTTCTGACTAAGTCCTCCAGACCGCCTGATGCGGTAGCCTGCAGGCGATAACGTGCCTTGCGCTGGGGGGCGCAGCACATTGGTTCTATGATTAGCACCGTGGAGGGGCGTCGCCACTTCAATTTCTCCGTCAAACCAAATGGGTTGAATTGTTGTGTTTGAATGAGCTGCCGTTGAGGATACGTGTAGCAAAGTGAATGAATCTGATCGAATATGGTTAGCTGTGACGGCGATCACACCCACCTCGAAACTGGGTCACTAACACGCTTTCATTAAGTGTGACTTGAGTTCTTGGGCGATATCATTAGACAGTGCGCTTTTGGATTGGTGAAACCTTTAGACACAGATGGGGATGTATTCGCCAAACCGGATGCAGATAGAAAAGTCAAAGAAAGAATTTTTAGCGTAGTTGCATTTTTGTCATTCTATAATACTGTCAAGTGCTAGGTATCATTAAGTTTAATGCTGTGCAATATCAATAATACGCAAAATGTAATTTTTTACAAACTGATTTTCGTTGATAATTGTCTACTTTTCATTCACAAACGGTGGTATTTTAAACCCCATTCTAGGCATCCCTTTTTCATTGGTGTGTTTTACCACATGCATATTTGGTAATTTTTGATTGGTTTTGCTAGACAGGTGGAAAAACTTGTTAAAAAAATCAGGGCATTTTTTCTGTGAACGATCTAAATTTTAGTTAAGACGTGTTTAATATGATCCCCTTTTACGAAATACACGGCAAAAATTAGATTTTCAAAAATATTACATCCATTTATTTGTCGCTTATCGAATCCATGCAATAATTTTGTCTCTGATTGTAAAATTGTATTGCGGTTTTCATATCAGTTAGCCTAAGTGTGCTGTTTTGTAAATTCTTCCAACAACACTAGGATGGAGTGCGATATGCAAGCCTTTTTCGCCTAACCTCAACAAAGCCATACTCGGGGTTTTATTTTCGCTTCAAATTTTAGGAAATAGTTGGGTGGAATATGTGGGCAATTTTGTACCGCACAATTATGCTTATACTATACATTTAATCAAAAGCCCATATTTCCAGTAAACATCATTCAAAATTAAACATTACATGCGTAGGAGGAAAATTCACCGAATTTGATTCGGACAAAGATTCATTTCAGAGATATTAACAAATCACAGAACTTAGGAAATCGCGTGCATCATGGCCAAAATGGCGCGGAGGTAGATACTAAAAACTTGTAGTGACTAGAGACTTAGCACTACCTTACAACCCCCTGGTTAACAGCCCGTTACAACCCGAGGATAGGGGAAAAGGAGGCGGCAGAGAACACGACCGTTTATTGTTGTCAAACCAGCCAAATGGGTCTGTGTGCGTGTGAGTACGCGTGCGTAACAGGCGAATTCTGACATCGGCCAATAACAAAAGGGGTGAGTCATTGGTCCACTCGGGCCCTCATGCATGCATCACTCACGCGAGGTGGCCGTCAGTCCACTACAAACTGACTGACTGTGAACATTTAAACCAAATTATAACAATGTGCCTGATTGTCTTGAAGTTATAGTTAAACTGTTCAAGGAAAGTGTAAGTACATCGTCACAGGGAGTACCAGAAAAGCATGAAATTTGTAAACCAAAGTTCCTAAAGTTAAGCAAAAGGCGACAAGCACTACGCATTTATTTCAACTACTTGAGTAAAAGTAGTGCATCGGCAAATGTTTGGCTTTTGGAACTTAGTTGAGTAAAATTAGCCTAAATTCTTTTAAGAGATGGCTGTTTTTATATTTGCAAAATTATTTACGTACTGACCTGCCTAGCCCAGGTCTATGTGCAAAAACACGACGGCTTACCTGGCTTCGTGTCAACTTGCAGGTACTTGTGCAAGTGGATGCCATTGCCGCTAACAAATGTTAATGGTAATAATCAGTAAAATTGCTATGAAAATTCAGCAGGAACTACCATTACCATTTTTGAATTTATAAACACATCGAATTTCTACATTCCCAAAGTTTTCATTCCAATTATGGCTGTTTACATGGACGTTATCACTATATAAAGGCCAACGGTTTCCCAAAACCTTGCTTT